CATTGCTTCCGATTTGTAAAAAAAAAAACAAACCCAAACATCTTAATCCACGAAGTTCGTCAAATTTGAGCTGTTAGATAATTTCCAGATGGATTTACAATGTACCTCCTCTCGCTCGAAATTCAAAAGAGAATTGTAAAGGCTAAAGTCTCAAATTGTTATATTCAGGTGTTGTCAACACAAAATCTCGCAAACGTTGTATTATCGAGTGTCCAAGAATTACCACTTTTACCCGTCACGCAGCGATGATTACATCGAGTGTCTATTTATAGATGAAACAGCATTTCTGCTGACCGCTAGGGGGAGGTAACGAACTATAATTCTAAATCAGTGGAAGTTCTGAATTGTTGATATTGCTCTTGGAATAGAAAATCAAAACATCGGGTCGTGAGTTATGCTTGTAATACTTTCCTGGGGAATGGCATTGTCCGAACAAGGTAAATATAATTTTTGTAGGTTTATAGAAAGCTATTCTTTTTCAGTTTTTATATGTTACGACTTGAAAACTCAATTCTAAATGCAGGTGTTTGAATTGTCAAAGAGAAAAAATAATATTTAAGAAATAAATAACAAGTTTATAAACTTCAATGGGAATTGAAGTGGGTCGATCACGTGATCAAATCCTGTGAAGGCCGAAGATTTGATCACGTACCGACCCACTTCAATTCCCATTGAAGTTTATAAACTTGTTATTTATTACTTATATATACATTTGAGACAGACAATTGAATATTTTCGAATTTAAATTATTGCACTAACCGTCCGTCGTAGAATTTGAAAAATGACGCAAGGTGTAAATCGGTTTGCATGGCGGTTACGCTTCGAATTCATTAGGCTAAGGAATCTATTTCGAAGGGAATATTTCGTGAAAGGCTTCTTGTGATCAGTTATAGTGAACAGATTGTTGTCTGGGAATATTTTTATTCAAGAAAATTCATAATCGATGCTGAAAAGACACAAGGAACACATCCGACGTTTGATGATAAAAAGTTGGAGGAATTTCGGTCGCCGGAAAGGGATGGATGGATCCGATGGATTGAGACACTTGTCCGAGCCAGTTAATTTGCAATTTGATCAAAAACATTCTATGATTTCAGTAACTAAAGGCATACTTATCGTAAAACACTGATAAACACGGAGACACTGCATGGCGACAGCTTGACATTGAAATACGAAAACGTCGAGGAGTTTGGCAGCTGTTCATGGCATGATTGCAATGATATTTTCCAACAGATTTACACATTAATCGTGAGTAGAATTTAAAGATAAAATAACAGTTTATCATGAAAATTTAACCAAAGGTCTACCTAAAAAAAAGGATGCACGTACGTTAGAGACTGCAGATGACAAAAGTGAAGAAAATCGTAAACAAAGACTAGTTTTATCTATGTACACAGGTTCAATCGATAGCCAAAAATCTGTTTGAAATAATTGTTTACATTGTAAATAAAATAATTATCATTTTACTTCCTTATTTTGTTCATTTTTATACATGAAAATTAGCAAGTAGAGTAGGTCATTTTATGATTTATACACTTAGATATTATTGCGCCGTGTGATTAGGTCACATATTGACCTCTGACCTTTGACAAACTTTATACAGAATTGAAGATATTTTCTCTCTGTATGTTTATATAATGGAGAGATACCACAAATGTATATATTTACAAAAGTATTTCTGTCTGACCGCAGTTTGCCCATTAATTAAAAAATGCAAAATATGGTTAGATATTTTAATGCAGAATTATATTTGAACAGAGACCTCAATTTTTAGCGCTCATTTTTAAGTATATTTAAGTGGTGATGATTTGGTGTTTTATTGCCCCCCCCCCCCACCCCACCTGTTGTTTTTAGTTTTCTTCCTTAGACGTCATATATTTTAATGGTAGGCATGTTTGATGTAGTTTTATTACCTTAAATAATGGCAATATCTGCTTATGGGTGATATTATATATAGTGAATATGTTTAATTTAAATGTTTCCAATTTTTTCATGTTCTTTTATATGCTACACTAAAACAAAGAAACGGGTTATAGATAGGAGTTATCCTTCCTAACTCAAACTTTTTTCCCCTTGCGATACACATCGATGTCTAAGGTAGGCTCTACCTGTAACTTGATTTCATGAAATCTAGAAGGTGTATATAAAGCAAATCTCATTTAGAATATGCCATTTTATGTAGATAGAGGAATGAAAATGACATTTGACCTTAAAATGTTGTATTTTTATTTTTAGGAGGAATTGCTAGATGTAAACAACACAAGACGCAGCTTTCTCTTTACATCAAAATATATGCAAATTCGCTAAAATACGCATCTTAAAAACACAAATTTATTCCATCATTTAACATTAAATTACGTTCTGCAAAAGTTTGTGCCAAAAACGATTCAGAAACACTGCAAAGTACAAAAGTCACTTGGTGAAAATTTGTGTGGGTTCTTCTCCTATAAAAAAAATGACTAGCGTAAATTAACCACGTGATTCATACATGTATAACTGCATTTGATTGGTCCAAACTATAAAATCTACCCGTAAATACAAGGGGCATCCGAAAGAGTACTCTCTATAATCGGCTCTTAAAACATTGCTGTGACGCCATGCCTTTGTTCTTGCAGTCTAAAAATTTACCTGTAGCCGTCCGATAATAATAATTACCAGTCCGAAAATATGTTATCGGACGGCAGTGATATAAAAAACGGACGGTATTTAAAAAACAAAAAGAAGATTGAAATAAAGGTTAAATACATGTATTTCCACAAACCCCAAAAAGTGTTAGGCAAAAAACTCAGGGAAAGCAAACACAAGGAGATTAGGTTGCTTCTAAAAAGCAAATCCATGAAAAAAACATTTTGAGTTTAAACCTTCCTCAAAATCAATACTTTTCACTTTTTAAAAGACAGTGATTTTGATTCAGCACTTTGAATAAGCGAATTTTAATTCATTTCTGAGAAAGAATCTTCAAATCTCCTAATTTTATAGGCTGCACTTTTAAAATCCGAGAATTTCCATGATATAAACTAAAACTTCAGAATAAAAAATCCGCATTTTTCTTTCCATATATGGTGATAGTAATAATTTCCTACAAAATTATGTCTGGATCAATGTCAATTTATGCACATTATAAATAACCCCCCCCCCCACCCCCAATAAAATCCTTCACCGCCATGACCCTTGTGCGGCTTAGTTAAACGACTGCCATGATATGGAATGAATGATGAGATGAAACAAGAGTTCACTCACTGTTTTTACTGTTTCATTTCTTTTATTTTATTATTAGACGGGTAGAAAACAATGGAAGCCTGAACTCCCATTGTGTTATTATCGAACTCCTCCGGGTAACTTTTGGACATTTAAATGGCAATGTTTTAAGTAAGATATATGCCTCATACTATTCTATTTGTAAAATTATCAGACAGTTTTCGACCCTAACGGGCCTCAAATAGTCTGATAATTTTACATATAGAACAGTATTCGGCATCTATCCATTACATACATTCACCTCTGTCATTGGCTCGCGTATATCACAGTGATAAACACGAATAATAGTTAAATTCATTTTAAATTCAATTTCTATACTTATGTCTGAGATTTGAGATAGACATTTACTAAATAAATTCAGAATATTTATTGAATTTGAAACAATCCTACAAATATCACGTTTTACAGTGGACTTTCAGATATCCGGACGCTTTTTCATCAGAACAGAATTTCAAAATGTTATTATGTCTTGTTTAACTGGTATTTCAGGTATCCGGGCGCTTCACATATCCGGACAAATTGACTAGGAACCAAAGCGTCCGGTTAAATGAGGCTCCACTGTATACGTCATGTCAAAAATCTTTACGTGAGCCCACTGCAGAGGTTTCTGAGAGATGAATGAACGACAACTCTGCATTGGAGATTGTCGAAAATTATAAAAAATATAAAATTTTGTATATAAAACAATTTATTGTACCAATGGATGTTTATTCATTGTTCGTGTAGGTCATTTATAAGACCACCTTGATTATGCCTCTGTAGTGTGAGGCAGCTGTCAAGACAATGATAATGATAAATTTGAAAAAAAAAATGCAACTTTACACTCAACGAATAGTCACAGGTTTAACAACATAAATAGCCTCTACAAATTAATTTTACTTTGAAACTGAATAGGAACTACTTAGTTGTAGAAGACAAACACCAAGATTAAAAACATTTTTTTATGAATAACAGTTTAGTACCAGACTATCTAATGGACATACTTCCAGATATGCGATGTAATACATATAGTGATTTATTTTAGTGAACACTTTGGCACTTTGATTTACTAAAGTGAACACTTTGACACTTTGATTGGTTACTATAAAACTTGGATTTACCATGGCGGTTAATATGGAAACTTTGATTTACTATGGTAAACACTTTGATTTACTACAGTGATAACTTTAAAAACTTTGATTTACTCTAGTGATCTCTTTGACATTATTGTGAACACTTTGAAAACTTTGATTTACTATAGTGATAACTTTGAGAGCCTGATTTACTATAGTTAACTAAAGTAAACTATAGTTTTCTTTAGTTAAATATACCACTTTTTGTTAGGGAAATCCTTGCAAATATCGGTAAATAGTTATTTTGAGCTTTATTTTCTTATTTGGATCAATTGGTTCGGAGCATCTGTAATGACGTCAAACCTCATTATGACCTCATTACCATATAATTTTCCGATCAATCCTTAACTGCATTGCGGACTGGCATAAGTATTTGAAGCTTAGAGATTTTACAATGTAACATGATTATATTTACCATAATGAAACACGAAATGTGTTTGTGATATATGAGTGATATTGAGAGAGAAAAAAAAATAATGCAGAATTACAAAGTCTAACTTTTTATGATATTATTAAAGTAATAAATAACCATATGAAGAATTTATTATTTTTCGTCTTTTGATAGAAAATATCTATGAAAAATGTTTGTGAAAAATGCATAAGAACAAGTGAACAGCCTTAGAGACCTACCGTAGTTAGCCATGTCTTCTTATCTTAGTCTAAACTATTGGGTTAAGGTCAATTGTATACTGCAAATTTCTTGCTGTAGATCTGAAATTATTAGATAAAATAAAATAGATTTGCACTTTATTCTTCGGAAGGTTTTTTGGTTTTCTTTTACTGTTGATGAGTTTATATTTTTCCAGTACTTTAAACATTTTCTTATAGCTGTTTGTAGTATGTTGATAAGATGATACACTGAAGCTCTGGGGTTATATTCCTGTTTTTCGGATTTGTCACTTTTTCGGAAATTAATCTTTTCCTCTTTAGATTTATGTAACCTTTTTCATCCCGGCTTCAATGATTCCGAGAGGATATTAATGTTCAAGCAGATTTTTTTAAAATTCATTCAGACGTTCATCTCTTGTTTTCTTGTCGCTAACTATAGTGCAGATTCTTCTGTCTAAATTGTAAGGGATCGAGAAAATGTCTAAAGTACTGGGAAAATATCAATTCATCATCAGTAAAATACAACCTAAAAACCTCCAGGTAATATTGCTCAAATCTATATTTCAACAACAGACATTGTACATGTAAAACTAAAGTGACAATATGGAGTGCGTTGATTAATTTTCAGAATTCCGAAGTAGAATTGTAGTTGATGCTGATTCCCTTATTTCCCTGCTCTCCAAATTTCGATCGATCCCGAGAAATTCTGTTATTTAAAAGCAAAACAAAGTATAAGTAAAAGAAAAGGTTTTGAATTTATTTTCAATGTATCGGATGATATTTCATATACTTTGTTTTGCTTTTAAATAACTGCGAAGTAAAAATCTGCAGCGAGTATAAGGCTAATGAAGGAAATTATCTTACTTTAGATGTTTTCGTTGAAGACTTACCTTTCTACTGATAAATATATACAATCAAAATTGTAATAGACCCATTGTTTTAAGTTTAATTAGTAAAATAGAGGGGATTAATTCTTCTCAACACATTGGTATTGGAGTTGTCCTTTATTTAATTTTTGATAAAGAGTTAGATTCCATGAACTACAAAAATTTAAACAATCCAAAATCAAGACTTGAAGTTTTAAAACGTATTGATGCTTTAAACCTAAAGGATGTATATATTGAAAATAACCAAAACTTGAAAAAAAAATTACATGGAGACGAAAAAACCCAATTAAACAAGCTAGGATTGACTTTTTCTTAATAACCGAATCTTTGTTCACTACGAGTCCTTGTATAACTTATGAGAATAGTTATCATTCTAATCACTCACCGGTTTTGTTAAGTTGTAAATTAAATGAGTTCCTAAAAGATAATGATGATATTCAATTTACTATTAGTGATAAACTTTTTCTTGATATTTTACTAATGCAATTTAAGAGGAAAATAAATCTCTTATTCCACTTACAAAAAGAAGGAAACAAATGAAAGAGAAAATCAATTAGAAAAAGAAATATTTGAATAGGAACAAAATTTAACAGAACAGTCAATAAATTAACTTGCAGAAAAACAAACAGAAGTAGAAGAAATAAAAAAAAAAATAAGGTTCAAAGGGCAATGCATCAAGTCAAAGGTTAAGTCGATTGAGGAAGGAGAAAAACCATCAAAATATTTTATTAGTTTAGAATCAAGAAACCATATCAGTAATCGAATTCCAAAATTTGAAAGAGATGATGGATCATTTGCTTCTTCTCAGAAAGATATTATAGAGGAAACAAAGGTTTTGTAAAAATGGGGTTAAAAGTTGAATCTGAAAATATTCATGAAAAATTAAAAATTTATAAAGATATTTCCAAGTTAAGTAAAGAGGAATCAAATAGACTTGAAGGACCAGTGACAAAATTCTAAAGTTCTAAATTTTCTAAAACAAATGAAAAATGATAAAATTCCAGGCCTCGTTAGATTTACTTGTGAGTTCTTCAAATTTTTCTGAAAAGATATGGGCTCTTTTAATACAAGAGCAATAAACAATTCATATAATGTATCACATTTTACTGAGTCAAATAAACGTGGAATTATACTTTGTATCCCAAAATCGGGAAAACCAAAGCAGTAAAAAAAAAATGGTGGCCTATTAGTCTTTTAAATGTAGTTTATAAAATATCTTCAGGTTGTATTGCTGAACGATTGAAAACAAAATTAGATACATTAATTAATAGAGATCAAACCGGATTTATAAAAGGTAGATTTATAGGGGAGAATATTAGATTGATATATGATTTGATGCATCAACATAATTGAATCAAGTACCTGGTTTACTAATGCATATAGTCTATGAAAAAAGCATTTGCTTCGATCTCATGGAAATTTATATATCAAACTTCGATCTTTTTCAACTTTGGATCATCCATTAAAATGGATTGACACTTACTACAATGGTATTAAATCATGTGTTATACAAAATGGTGTTATTTAAGACTATATATTTTCTCAAAGAGACTGTAGAAAAGGCGACCCATTTTCACCGTATCTCTTTTTGCTACATGCAGAAATACTTAGAATTCTAATTAGAAATAGAAAAGACATTAAAGACAACATAATCGAAGGCGAATAATATAAACTTTCACAATATGCTGATGATACATCTCTTATTTCAGATGGTTGACCTACATATATGGATGGTATTCTACGAGAACAAGATTTTTTTTTCAAATATTTCAAGTTTAAAAATAAACATCTTAAAAACAAAAATGGTTAGGATTGGAAGTAAGAAATATTCAAAGGAAGTTTTCACCATTCTCATTCAATTTAACTTTTGATTTGCCAGTAATAATATTTTCAGTTAATTTTGATGAAATGCTTGAATAAAATTACATGTCAAATCAAATGATATCAAAAAACTACTATGTAGTTGAATTATGAAGAAACCTATCCCAATTGGCAGATTAACAGTAATTAAAGCGCTTATATACCTAAACTAAATAATCTGATATGGAGGATTGAAATTCGAAGATTATACAGAATTTATTTTTGCACTTAAATCAAGTTGAGGTAGAAGACCGATTCACTCAGATGCAAAATGGGTAAAGTTGTTTAAATCTGAACTAAAAACAGACATTGAAAGCTTGTTGATAAGGGGCTCAGATTACATTCTAAATTTAACAAAAAATTTAACAAAATTTTTTGGAAAGAGGTCCTTAATTCCTGCTTCATAATGTTTTCTTTGATGAAGCAGATTGGTATAAAATATTTGAACATTCAAAGTTACTCAGGAATCCAAATTTCACTGGCTACAATTTCAAAAATTACACAAAATTATTCCAACAACTTATTACCTTTTTTGATTGAAGTTGATTGATTCACCAGCTTGTACATATTGTTTAAGTGACATAAAAACAGTTGACCTCTTGTTTGTAGAATATTTCAAAGTAAAAGATTTATGATGTAGGATTCAAGAATGGGTTTTGGAAAAAATTAAGATTCATTGTAATTTTGATAAACTAGGAATACTTTTTGGTAACTATGAGAACAGGAATACATGTAAATTTCAAAACTTGATAATACTTATAATAAAAAAAGATTATTTTTGCTGGTATATATAAAAGTGTTTCAAAATTTCAGTATTGATATCCTAATAAAGAGGATTATAGATAGAATTCTTACAGAAAAAAGTTTTGTTATTACAAGGTTGTAGACATATACTAGAATATTATAGGCATTTACAATGAATCTGTGATGTACCTAGAAAAAAGCATCTATTTTTATCACGGAATATAATTATGTGCTAATTCTAAGGATTTAATTATTTGATTGTAAATATTTGAATTCATTTTTCTACTACTGCTGACCCCCCCCCCCCCCCCTTTTGTTTTTCTATATAAAAAAAAAAACTTTCACGGTTACAAGTAAATTTTGTACTGTTGTAAAAAACGAAATTATCGAAATTTACCGTGTATATGTATGTGTGTTCATATGTGATTGCGCCCATGAGAAAAGGGTCCTTATGGCATTTTCACTAAAACAGAGAAATAACGTCATAAAGACGTGACGTTGCAGACTGACGGTGAACTTCGACGCATATTTTTTTAACCACGTGTTTTGACGTCTGACGCATCCAGAGTTTTTATAGCTGTTTCCAACATGTGGAATTTATTTTCATGTATAATTTAATTTAATCAATATCTGAATCTCCTAATCCACTGATTTTAATAGATATATATAAATAAAAACATTTAGAACTGGTTTCTTAACAAACATTATTAAATACGTTTCTATAATACCAATAGTTTTCCTACATGCGTAATTAAATGCATGTATAGAAGCTGTAGACAAGGTGTTTTCTGATAGCATATTGAACCTCAATTACACTCTAGATAAATTTTATTTACATATTTTTACAATTTTTAGAATACATCTTAGACAGGGTATATCGTAAAAAATATTGCAAAGGAAAAATGTCTTCCTACTTCTTTGAGATCCGCTCCACAACTCTCAAATACACATCGCGATCGCGTCGATCACATGTAAACATTGATTCATCGGTGCAGACTGCTTAAACTGTTGTTAAATTGTTTGTACAAATGTTGAAACTAAACATACATCTTCCACGTTTTTTTTTAAATCTAGCAAGAATGTGTAAGAACGATAGTTAAGATTATTTGTATTTTCTATAAATAAAAATAGGAGAGATAACTCTGATGTCAACAATCGATGTAACAGGGGTACCAGACAGGGACATTCATTATTTAAATTGCGTACTTTTTCACATTTCAGCTGGATGTTCGCATGAATTTTCTCCCGGATTATAAAAGAGATATTTTATGACCAAATAAAAAACTTTTAATCGTCATCATAATTATGAATCTTTAAATAAAAAAATATTGTTGTACTTAGGGAAAAAAGGTTAATGTAGAAAAAGGAAAAACAAAGAAGAAGAAAAAAGAAAACTGCAAAATTGAACAGACTTCATTTTTTTTTTTCAAATCTCTTATCTATAGCTTTTTTGGCATGAAATAATTTCATGACAAATTCCATTTTTAAAAAATAATAAACATGTAGAGTGTCTACCTTATGATCATGATTAAATAAATTAAAATTTAAAAATGTTGTTTTGTCTTATATTCTTGTTGCACAAAGACACTTCAATTTAGAGAAATTAAAACA